CTCCCTAATCATCTACAAAAAGTACAGTAGAATTCTTAAAAATGACTGATAAAGACTTCAGAATATTCATATCAACAAAACTAAATGAGATGCAAGAGCAGAGAGATAATGAACTCCAGAAGATGCAGGAGAAAAGAGACAATGAGTTCCAGGAGGTGTTGAACTTCTTTCATAATCTGAAAGACGAAATGAAAAAGAAGCAAATGGAGCTATTAGAGATGAAACCTGCCCTTCAGGAAATAAAAATGTCCTTTAAAGGATTAAAAGCAGATTAGTCCATGCAGAAAATTAAATCTTGTATATTGAAGGTAAAACCTCTGATCTAGAAAAAACTACTAAAAAAACTGAGAAAATAATCCCAAAAAGTGAGAATGCTATTCGAGAAATACTAGACAGCATTAAGCACACAAACATTTGGATAATTGATATCCTAGAAGGTGAAGAAGCTAATAAGGACATTGATCATCTATTCCATGAAATTTTGGAAGAAAACTTTCCAAATCTGAAGAGGCATTCAAATATCCAGATTCAAGACATACAAAGGACCCCTAATAGAATCAACCCAAGAAGATCTTCTCCAAGGCACATCATAGCCAGACTGGTCAAATCTATGGACAAAGACAAGATACTAAAATTGCCAAGAAAGAAACCTCAGGTTACTTACAAAGGTTATCCCATCAGGCTAACCTCAGAGCTCTCATCAGAAACAATGCAAGAAGGAAAGAATGGGAAAATATATTCAAAGTGTTAAGTGAAAAACAGTTTCAACCAAGAATACTATACCCAACAAGATTATCTTTCATATGGAAAGAAGGAATAAAAACATTTTCAGATAAACAAGACTTAAAAGAATTTGCCAGTAGCAGACCCCCTCTTCAAGAAATTCTGAAAGGAGTGCTTAACCAGTGAAACTAAAGATACATACAGAAATAAGAGAACAAAAGGCAACCAAGAAAATGACCAATTTAATGCTAGGGACAGGAAATATCAATAGCAACGTAGAATGTTAGCTCCCAGGATTTAAACGGAAAGATTGGACCACAGCAACACTGCATATTCAACAGAAGGGAGTTTGAACATAAGACTTAACTGGCAAAATAGAATTTTATGACTTTTGAGTAAAACATTACTGATTTTTTTTAGTATGCTTTGTTTTCCCAATTTAAACAGTATGTTTTCTTTTCAGTTGTTGATAGGTTTAGCAATATATTAAAATATTTTTCTTATTTGTTTCTTTAAATGGAAATATAAACTTTTCTTCCTTCCGGATCCCTCTGGAATTGGAAAATATTTGGGAATATTCTTATTTTGTGGGAGAAGGGTTATTTGCATAAGTTCAATAATGCTTGTTGCATTGATTCAGAAGTAAGAAATACTCATTATTAGACAGGGCTTTGACTGGAATGTCATATCCGAAGATTGATTAGAAAACTGTGGAACTAAGGTGGATCTCAATTGAGCTAACAAAGCTCTTAGAAAGATGGCCTGGTATCATAAATAGTTCTGCCTGGCAGAGGGGCAGAGGGGATTAGAGAAGATACATGAAGGAATTTATAACATAAAATAACCTTGGTATTTCCAGCCCAGCATTGTAATCAGTAGAGATTGCAAAAGAGCAACCACACCAGAGAATTATCTTGAGAAAGATTTTGAAGGAAGAAAAAAAGACTAATCTTTGCTAGCAGATGGTATATCACAGAATACACTTGCGCAGGGCTGAATTGAGAAGGTTTATGTGTGATTATTGCGCTGGGCATTTGCTTTTCAACAATTTGAGTAGCTGACATGTAAATATTTCCTCAAAAATATTTAAAACCACACTGTTTCTGTTGTTATAGAGTCACAAACAAAATTATACAATATAATAAGAAATATTTTGAAATTTTAGAAGTTGTTTATTAACTGTCAAGAATTATGAAGATAAAAAAGAATTATGAAGTATGAGAATAAAATAATTATTAAATTAATAAATAAATAAAATTGATCTCAAAACCCTTTGGAAAGAGCTATAAGATCTCCCTCATCTAAGAAACCCTAAGCTCTCCCTTAGGGTATATTTTTACACTATTTGTCTTTGCTATTAACCTCTTAGTGCCAGAAAGGCACTGTATCTTGTTTAACACTATAACCGAGGCACCTAAAGTGAAGCTTGGTATATAGACTGTAAACATTAAGTATTTGTTTAATTAATGATTAATCCCCACAAGGCCACTTACTGCACTCCCAATAAATTGGACGCTCTTATTTTTGTTTTTCTACCAATGGACTCTTAACTGCCAATTCAACAGGCCCCAAATACCAGTGATCAAGTATTTACTCTCACTATCCCCCAAGCTCCTACATTATGTCAAGTAACAGGATTAACATGCCAAAAACTTTAGGGCTTATGGAATAAGTATTTGCAATTGCTGAGGATGATAATGAAGCAGTTCAGAATCACTAAGTACCTGACTAAAAAGCAGCATGACCAGAATTTTTATTTAGGACTATTAATTTTTCCATGTATATTCTTAAACATGAGGTTTAAACTACTTCTATTAGAGAAAAAACATGCCCATTCAAAGCATCTGATGATAAAGTGGCCACACAACTCTTTATTGCTTGCAAAGTAGAAATTCAAAAGAACTAAAAGAACTGTTCATTTTCTCTCCAAACATCATTGCATGCTTCATTAAGTTAGAGAAGACTATGAGCCTTTTATTTTTAGAAAAATAAATAAATGTGATAGTATTTGCACTCAGAGAAGCAAAGTGATATTTTTTCCTACAATGAAAAATGTGGGTATACTCTAATGTAAAACTACAGTAAAAGACTCACCCACGAAGGCTGCCATCTGAGCTGCTGTTCTTCCGACAGAGTTAACGACGTCTGTCTCAGCACCAGCTTCCAACATTACCCATGTGATGTCTTTGTTACCTAAAGTAACAGTCAGAATTGGACGATTTAAAACAACCCCTTCTAAATTCTGTACTTTTTCCTCCTCCATTTAGTTTTAGGCTTCTGTCATGTAGAATATGTTCATTTTTTTCCAAAAAGTCAGTCTAAACTACAGTAAAGAATAAATGCTACAGAATCTACATAGAAAGTAGTCTTAAATTGTCTGGAAAACCAATTAGGCAAAACAAAAAATGTATGGAATTGAATACCACTGTTTTGGATAAAATGAAATATATTTTCTAATGATAATGCATAGCATAAAATCAAAACAAACCTATAAAAAAATCACAATGACAGAAGCGATAAAATGACCAGGAGTCCCCATTTAATAGCTATTAACCCATCCTATTCCTAATATCTTCAGGCCAGGGAATAACTTAACCATTGGTAACCACTGAAGTACCTCTTTCTAGGCTTTTTTTCCAAACATTCATAATTCACATTCTTTCACTAATGGAACCATTATGGACATTTTACTATTACAAATTACACTCGGTGGGACCAGCAGTTGGCGTAATAGCTATTTTGCTGGACTCCCATGTCGTCGACCACAGTTTGAGTCCCGGACCTACTGGCTTAAACTCATGCTGGGCGCATGTGTGTGCGTGCCCAAGATCCCTGGAGGAGAAGGGATTGTGGCGTGGCCATCCCCACTGGGGAGTGATTTCTCACTTTCTGTCTCTCTGTCTCTGTCTTTCTGGTGAGTGCACACACCCTATAGCATAAAACCTACCCCCAAAAAAACATTACACTCAGCAAACAGTTTCCACTTTTTCTTTTGTAAGTCTGAACTACGATTTCCTTAGTAAGAGTTCCTGGAAAATATTGCTAGATCAAAGGTTGCGGATACTTTAAATGCATTTTGCCAGGCTGCTATCCAGCAAGGTTAGGTTGATATGCATGCCTCATAACTCCTGCATGTTATCACCCTTTCTCAACCTTTGCCAATACTTAAGGAAAAATAATAATGTATTGGTCTAATTTGCTTTTAACTTTTGCTGAAAATGTTTTAGATGCTGACTAGCCAGTTGTTTGCCTTTGTTCTGTCTAGTGCCTACTACAGTGTTTGTCTTTTTCTAATTGGCTTATAAAAACTCTTTTATATAACTATATGACAATTTAAGACATTAGTAAACATTTTCCTTTTTTATGGTATACGCCATATATGAAAGTGTCAAAATTTTATGTAAGCAAGTTGGCTAGGGTTGTCTTCTTTGGATTCTATATTTTATATAATGCTTAGAAATGCTGTTTCAGGATTATAAAAACATAATTACTCCTTTTAAAGTATGAGACTATAATATAAAGTCTATACTTTCCTAAAGAACTACAATAATTAAAGAAAGCCCCACTGAATATTAGATAATATTGCTCAATTGTCTTTATTCGGTAAATTACAAACAAAATGAATCAGAGTAAGTTTCTAAAAGAATCATCATATTTAACTCACAAATGCTAGTAAGGCAAATAGACCGCTCTATCCTAGCAGCTGTTTGATCTAGTGAACAAAGAAGTATTCATTTTACTTCGTAATATAGAGATATTAGAATATCAAAGAAACTAACTAGGAAGCATAATAGATACAGTTCCTGGATGCTTCCAAAATACATCATCCCTAAACACAAAGAACCAATTGATTTAAGTAACAAAAGAAACTGATTACCAAATAACTGTATAACTTATGTCATAGAGCTTTTTAAAAACCAATGCCCACAATTGCTTTCCACAAACCTAGATCACAAATTACTATGATAAAAATATATTTGACTTGCAAGTATACATGTACTTGTAACCAATGTGTAAGGTAACTAAGACTAATAAATAGAAGAATACTAAAACATCACCAGAAAGTGCAGCAAACATCAGGGCTGTATATCCATGTTCATGTTGGTGACAATTGACATCAGCTCCGTGTCGCAAGAGTAATTTGCACATGTCAAGTTTGCCTTTATATGCTGCGTGCATCAGAGGAGTCATCCCATTCTTCAACAGAAAGGAAGAAGAAATATTAATTTGACTTATTTACCTTTTCTCTACCTATGAGGGGAGTCCTGTAATCACATTAAAATAAAAAAAAAACCACAGAGGACCAGCAGTTCACGTAATGGCTATGTCACTGGACTCCCATGTAGTCAACCGCAGTCTGAGTCCCAGACCCGGTGGCTTAAACGCACGCCCCTGAGAGGAGAATGTAGAAGGAACTGTGGCGTGGCCATTCCCTCTAGGGGGTGATTTCTTGCTTTCTGTCTCTCTGTCTTTCTGGAGAGTGCACGCACCCTATAGCAAAAACCTCTCCAAAAATAAAAAAAGTAAATAAATAAGAATAAAATCGCCTCATTCATCTATAAACTATTACGTTAACTTTCTCATTTCTGAGATAAAGAGACCAGCTTGTACCTGAGGGCTTTTATAGCTATGCAAACAAATGCACAGAGGACTTGTTGAACCTCACATGACGAGAAAATAAATAGGGTAGGGATTAGAACTCTGATTTCCAGGATTCTTATCTCTACCAAACAAAGTTAGCTTCTGGGGAAATGAACAAACAGACAGACACAAATACATCTTTTTAAAACTGAAGAAATACTGCACAATGAACAATACCAATCAAAGGGAGAGTAAATGTAGCAAATCCACAACCTGGAATATTAGAAAGCTAGGAAATGAATGAATTTATCGGTTGAATTAAAAAAAAAAAAGCCTATGAATTACTGTCAATAAAAATATAAGGTACAAAAAATTTGTATTATAGTTGTATCGTTTTTTAAAAGCAACGATTTCCCAAACAGCATCATTTGATCATACACATGACTGTATAAATATGATCATGTAAATATCGTTTGTCATATTCACAGCAGTCTACACTGTTCTCCATGGGATTTGTATGTAACCAGTGAAACAGTCAACCTTAAATGCACTGGATACCAAATACTATTTACTGGATAAGTGAATTTTCTCAGTTAAACAGCCTAAACGCTTTAAGTTCTCAAACGTCAGTTGTTTTGGATGGAAACTTCCCTAACATTTATAATTATTCATGTTGCTAAAACAGAGAAGGCTAACAATTTTAATTGTTCTCCATGATTACAGACTGTTAATACCAACATAAAGCATCATATTGTGAGCACAGTACCAGACTATTCTTAGAGGTTGCTGACATGAGAATTACAGGAAGGCTAGGAACTTTCAGGTGTTTGTTCAAGACGCAACTCTGTGGGAATACTCAAAGCTTCTGGAGAGTCAGAATGGACAACAAAAATACCAAATGCCCACCTCTGTTCCAATTAGGAAGGTAATAAAAAGGTTTCATAAAATGTTATTTTAGTGTTGTATGAAATTCATCAATTCAAATGAGCATTTTATTTCATATTCAACACCTCTGAAATTGAGTTTCAGTTTATAAGTTCTAGAATCTTACAAATTACCATCAGTTTTCACTCTCCTCATTTATTAATATTTCTGAAATCTAGATGAATCTTTAAATCTATGGTATCTTAGATTCAGTAAAACATAACAGTAAAAATGCTTAACTCCTTGTCATTTCACACAGACAACCTTAGAAACAGTATGAAAAATGACTTCTTATCATTTTTTTCTTAGGCTTTACTATAGTCTGTGTGTGCTCACCAGAGTGAAAAAGAGACCGCAGGTGAGAATTCACCCTCTAGAGTGGATGGCCGCACTGCAATCCCTTCTCCTCTATCCTTCTCTCCGGCTTTTGGGCATGCAGGCACATGCACCCAGTATAAATTTGAAGCTACCATGTTTGGGACTCAAACCACTACGGGTCACGTTGGAGTCCAGCACCTTAATCACACCACCAGCTAGCCCCAGTTGATTTTTTTTTTTTTTGAGAAGTTTTTGCTATAGGGTGCGTGCGCTCACCAGACAGACAGAGAGAGACACAGAGACAGAAAGCGAGGAATCACTCCCCAGGGCGGATGGCCACACCGCAATCCCTTCTCCTCCATTCTCCTCTCAGGATCTTGGGCACCACGCACATGCGCCCGGCGTGAGTTTTAAGCTACCGGGTCAGGGACTGGAAACACGGTTGACCACGTGGGAGTCCAGTGACATAGCCATTATGCTAACTGCTGGTCCTTCCCAGTTGATTTTTTTAAACCATCAACATTCTGTTAGATTTTATCTGTTAATACCAGACTCACTGTCTCCATACTTTGTTCACAATTAAGCAAAGTGACTCCAGGTGACCATAAGGTCATCTTGGTTACCTTATCATACAATTTAGCCACTCACTGCTGGGCAAGACTCCTTCCTGCTCTCCCCTCCCATTCATGGCGGTTGTCTTTAAAATCATCCTGAACGTAAGATCACAGTACACAATGTTCTGAGTGACTTGAATATTGTGTCAATACGTGATTATCCCTAACCCTGGTCTAGGGAAACTCGTTTTGCTGCACTTATATTGCATCAGCAAGTTCTTAAGCTAAAGACAGTAAATTACATTGAAAGATTTTTTTCTAAAACTGAACAACTGACATTCTTGGAAACACCTTACTTGCTTATGAAGTTCCCTAATGCGTTAGATACATTGTCTGTCAATTCACTAACATTTTACTTAGTATTTCTGCATATGTATTCATAAAATAAATAGGGTCCATAGTTTTGGGAGGGGCTTCTTCATATTTAGTCAGCATTATGCTAGCTTTATCAAATTAGCTGGATCACTTTCCATATTTTATAAATGGTACGATTTGTATAAAATAAGAAATGACTCATTTTCCTTGAAGTTTGGTAAAACTTCTTCAGGTTTGCAGATTTTTCTCTTTTTAAGAATGATCTTATTTAACTTTATTTATTTTAATTTGACCAGAGAGGGACAGAATGACAGAGAGAGAGTGAGTGAGTAAGCCGCCAAGTCGAGGACTCAAACCATGGTCAGCCATGTGAGAGTCCAGCGCCTTTCACCACACACCATCTGCCGGCCCCCAGGTTTGCAGATTTTGACATTGCTAAATATTTACATTAATCTTTCTTAAATATTTCATTTTCCTACTTCTATATGAGCTAAACATGTTTATCTTAATTTTTCTATAAAACTCATAGGGATTTACAGACACACTGACTTAAACAAAAATCATGACAATCCTCTTGGTAATGGCAATTTTATCTCCCTTCCTTTCTTCACTTCCTCCCTCCTTCCCTTCATTTTATCCCTTCTTTCTCCTATTTCTTCTTTCTCTCTCTTTCTCCTTCTCTGTTTCTGTCTTCTCATTTGCAGATATTATTTTCTTTCTTGCACCGCCCAAGTTTATCTATTTGAATTGAAATGCATAATTTTGACTGTATCTTGCCTCACAGTTTTATTCAGACACAATTCACATATCATATAATTTGCCCATTTAAATTATAGTTATTTTTAATATATTCACAGTTATGCAACGATCACCATAATCAAGTTAGACTATTTTTGCCGCTTCCAAAAGAAAGCCCATATGTATTAGCAGTCCTTCCCCACTGTTCCCTACTCCCTTTACCAGCCTAAGTTGGCCGCTAATTTATTTTCTGTACCAATGGATTCACCTATTGTGGATATTCAAATAAACAAAATCATACATAATGTAGTCTTTTATGACTGGCTCTTTCACTTAACATAAAGTTTTGGAGGTCCATTCCTGTTGTAATAGGTGTCAGTATTCCTTTCCTTTTTGTGACTGAAAAATAGGCCACTGTGTGTGAGTGAATTTGTCATATATTTTGTTTATCCACTGATGAATATATGGGTTGTTGCCACCTTTGACTATTATGAATAGTGCTAGTATAAATATAGAGAGAGGAGTTTCTGTGTGAATATTAGTCATTTCTCCTGAGTACACACCTGGGACTGCTGGACCATGTGATACCTCTGTTTAACTATTTGGGGAACTGCCAGGCTAGTTTACATTCCCAGCAGCAGGGTGTGAAGCTCTGACTTCTTCATACCATTGCCAATACTTGGTTATTACCTACCTTTTTAATTATAACTATCAAAGTATCTCATGGTAAATTATCTGATCGTGGTTTTGCATTTTCCCAGTGGCTAATGATATTGAGTCTTCACATAAATGTTGATAATTTACATAAAATCTTTGGAGCAATGTCTATTTGTTAAAAAATAAAATAAAATAAAACACAAAAGTATTTATCAGAATGCAAAAGTATACAATACAGCATCTACAAGGTCAGATTCACAGTGCCTGGTACTCAATAAAAAATAACCAGATACGCAGAGAAGCAAGAAAATACAATCCATAGTGAGGAGATAAAGCATTCAAAAGAAATGAAGCATAAGACCACATTAAGATTTATACATCAATATTCATAGCAGGTTTATTGGTAATAGCTCCAAAACTGAAAACCCGAAACTCTGTCAACTGATGAATGAATAAAAAGACTGCTGTATACATACACAGTGAAAACTACTCAGCAGTAAAGTGAGATGATATGCTACAACATGAGTGAAATTATTTTTTAAAAAATAATTACTTAACTTTATTTATTTATCCATTTTTAATTTGACCAGAAAGGGACAGAATGAGAGAGAGAAAGTGAGAAAGCAAGCCACCAGATCTAGGACTCGAACCATGGTCGGCCATGTAGAAGTCCAGCACACTCAACCACCACGCCACCTGCTGGCCCCAAACATGGGTTAAATTCTATATTAAGTAAAAGAAGCTAAACAGGGGCCCGCAGGTGGTGTCATAGTTAAGGACTATGGCCCACACGGCCAACGTGTAGAAGTCCAGCACACTCGGGGGCTTGCTTTCTCACTTTCCTTCTCTCTCTCTCTCTTTCTCTGTTTCTCTCTCTCTGATGAGAGCTTATGTCCTATAGCAATTTTTAAAAATAATAATAATACATAAAATTAAATAAATAATTCTTTAGAAAAAAAGATAGGCTAAACAAAAAAAGTACTTAGCATATAATTTCATTTTATAAAATTATTGGAAATGCAAACTGATGTACTGTGATGAAAATCAAATTAGTGTGTTTTTTTGAGGGAGTGGGATAGAGGGATTAAAAGGATAGGAAGAAACTTTAGAAATAATGAATATCTTCATTATCTTGACCGTGGTATGTTTTCACAAGTAAACACATAAGTTAAAACTTACTGTATAGTTTAATATTTAAAAACTTACTGTACAGTTTAATAGCCACACATGACTAGTGGCTATCATATTAGACAGCTTAGATGTTATCATTGTTTCAAAAAGTTATTTTGGGTACTGACTGTTCTAGAAAGTTGAGTTTAGGTTCACTTAACTTTCCTTTGCAATGCAATTGTTGTATCAAAGAATATGCACAATTAAAATTAAGACACATTCAAGATTTCCTAGAGATTATGCCAATTGACACCTAGTCCATTAGCATATAAATTTCTGTTTCCCATGCTTAGCAAGAAATGATATGATTTTGGTTTAATTTGTACTTGCTTGATTACTGATAAGATCAAACATGTTTTTATATGCTGGAGCACAAATACTAGGATAAAACTTTATTAACAGATTTTATATATTACCCAATCTCATAGGAAGTAACATACTTTATTATTGTTTTAATTTACCTCATCCAAACAGTTGACACAAACGTTCTTGCTGGATAACAGTGTTCCAGCTTCTTGGACAGTACCTTCAAAAAAAAAAGGTAAGAAGTAATTTTATATATCACTAGAACAGAAAGAAAAGAAAAACTGAGACTAAGAAAATAAACTTAAAAGAGTTATTTGCAAAACTAAGACTCATACAGTTGATTGCTAAGAAATAAAACATCCAATCGCACACTATTTATTTCACAAAGTAATTGTCCAGAGTAACAGATTTATAGACATGAAAATAGTTCCATTTTATTTTTACTTTACTGACCTTAAAGAATATTAAATTGGCCACATGTTTCTTTTGGCACTAATACAATAACCACAAGGCATAAGACTTAATACTGAAACAAATCTTAAAGGCCTAAATCACCAACTAAATCTTAAATTCCAGTGACCGTCATACTTGGAATTCAACACGCAGTCAGTATTTACATAATTTGTCAGCACCGGGTCCTGTGAATGATGGCCTGTTTATAATAGCTGGCTTCGGAAAAGTGTACGTGAAACTGATCTTCAAGGCCTGGTCCTGTACCGAAGCGCTTGACGGTCAATATTCAGACTGCCTTGCTGAAAGTCATCTAATAGAAATGTGAAAGTCCGTCATCTATGAATCGGAACATAAGCTATGATTGGGCCATAGTTGTCAGGTTTTTCCAGTAACCGTAAGACATAATGATAGACGCAAGTAGTCACAGGAGAGAATGTTGCTATTACCATCATTAAAACAGGACAGTCACATATTCTGTCCCCAAATTTCAGGTTTGACTGGAAAGAGAACAATGAACGTTCTCAGGGAGAAAGGGTGAGATAAGCTGCTCCTTTAAAAACACAAAAAAGAATAGGTGCATCCCCCAACCAGGTTATTTCATCTCTTTAAATTTAGAAATACAGTGTGAGAATGTGCCCAAGCCTGCTGTTTCCCGGAGTGAAGGTGGAATACGGAATGAAGATTAGCATGCTGCTTTCTCTCTGATCCTCTTCTGGTGCCCCTCCCCAGCAGAGGAGAAACGGAAATGTCCTAGATAGAGAAGTAGCTCTGTTGGGAAAATGTCAACTGAGTGATCTACGTGTCCCTGGAGTACGAAAGCTATTTTTGTAAATAGTGCGGTTTTTTTTGCCCCTGTACTCCATCGGAAGGCAGTTAGCTGACAGCTGAATGGCTAAAAGAGGAGAGGGGAAAGCTTTCAAGAATATAAGCATGCAATCAAGTTTTGCATGAAACCGTACCCACACCTCTGTGTTCTCACCAGAGACTTTAACACATCTGTAGAGAAGAATGAGAAGACAAACTCCTGCACGCCAGTGTCACTGGAGAAAGATGTTTCAGCTGAATCCCATTCTACACTGAGAACAAACTGAAATCCTTTTCTATCTGGCCAGGAGGTGTTTGTGTAATAAAAGGAGAATACTACAGGGATTGCAAACATGTCAAAGCCTGTTCCAGGTTAAGTGGAGGATGGGAATTACAAGCATAAACATTTGGCTCTCATTAGAGAACAGGCTGGTAATTCTATACGATGTTTGCCTGTGACCAGCAGATGGCATAATGGCTATGTCACTGGATTTCCACATAGCTGACTGCAGTTTGAGTCTCGAATCTGGCCGGCTCAAAACTCACATCAGGCATGTGTGCCCAAAATCCCAAGAGGAGAATGGAGGAGAAGGGATTGCTGCATGGCTATCCCCCCTGGTGGGTGATTTCTCGCTTTCTGTATCTCTATCTCTCTGTCTCACTGGCAAGCGCAAGTGCCCTATAGAAAAAAACATATTAAAAAAATAAAAGATATTTGCCTAATGGTTAACAATCTAAGCTAGTCTAGCCTGTCAGAGAACATTTTTCATATTTTTTTATGCTGTAATCTGGGGGGGGGGACTGTTTTCTCTTTTTTATAGAATTATTTTATTAATTATTTTATTTCATTCATTATCATCATTTGTTTAATTTGATCAGAGAGAAAGGGAAATTAGGAAAGCAAGCCTCCAGGTTCAGAACTCGAACTGCAGTCAACCATGTGGGAGTCCAGCACCTTAAGCACCACGCCACCCCCTCAGCCCGTTTTCTCCTCCTAAACTCCCACTGTACAGTCTCAGTCCTTCACTGCTGATGCCGGATACATAGTCTTGCTAACAAACCCTGCAACTGTCTGGAAGACACTAAGGAAGTGTCCTCCGATTGAACTCAGTCAGACACTATCCACCTAAGAGTCAGATCCCACAGGTTAAAGGCTCAGTCCAACAAGACAACCCCCCATTTCCGATGCCAGTCCTGAGTCCAAGCTTCTGATCCACTGGCGAGAAATTATGGTTCCCACGACACACAGGTCTGATCATTTGCCAGGCCAGCTCACAGGACTCAGGGAACATTTCACTCACACTTCCTCAGTAATCATAAAGGAAGTTATAAATATAGATAAATACAGATGACCAGCCATGTGGAAGAGATGCATATGGGAAGAGGCACAAGGCTTTCATGTCCTCTCCTGACACTCCCCCGTCCAGGAGCCTCCACCTGTTCAGCAATCTAGAAGCTCTCTCAACCCCATGAATATTCATGGCAGCTTCCCCACATAGGCATAAACAAGTATTTCCTCAATCTTGTGCCCCTCTTGCTCCTTCCTGTAGAGCTGAAAGTTCCAAGATTCTAATCATAGCTTTGTCTTTCTGGTGACCAGCCCCCATACTGAAGCCACCCAAGAGCCCCACGGTCACCTCACTGGACCAAAGACCCAACGACCTAGGAAATTCCAAGGGATTCAGAATTCTGTGTCAGGAACCAGGGTCAGAGATTGATTATTACAGCAAAAGATGTACCTAACACCCATACTTTTCAGGAGATTGTAAAGGTTTAGGGAGCTGTGTCAGAACCAGGGGCAGAGGCCAAACACCTATCTCTTCATTATATCACTGTTCTAGTCTGTTCTATTGCTAACAACAGGAAATGCCT